GGAGCCGGGGGCGCAACTTTCTCTTCTTGCTTGATGCGGCTCACCGTAGCAGGTTTGGGGGTCGCCGGAGCCGCCATAGCCGGCGCCGCAGCCTCTTGCTTGATAGTAACGCCTTGTTCCTGCTTCACCGCAACAGTTTCCACCACCCTGGGAGCAGCAACCAGGCTTGCAGCATGGAAAGCAGAACTCCTCTGCATCTTTGCTCTCAAGTAGTCCTGATTAGCAACCAAGTTGTTATTATAGACAGACTTAATTCTCTCTCACTTTTCTTTTGCCGATTTGCTAGCTAGTTTGTGTTTGGATGGAAGAATTGAGCAGATGGATGGAGTATTTATTTATACATATAGAGAAGGGAATGAAAGGGTTGTTGATGGATCAATGTTCATGCATGCACAACTATAACTTAATACGAACGGGGAAGCCAAGGAGTTCTTTTTGGTTAGTTGCACCATTTCTCAGCCATCATATACGCCCTTTTATGAATGAATTAAGATGCCCAATCAATGGATATTTGGAGTCCACAAATTCGATTGATGCAACCATTTCTCAAGGGGGCGTTTGGATTAAGAATTTAGTTAAGTAGAGATTTGGTCCACAATCACTCAATTAACATACTTAGTATTTTAAACCCAGGTTTTGTGTTAAATATGTTGTTTGTTTATGAATAGGAATTTATTAATTAGGGAATTTAATTCTGAAAGCTTTTGTGGAATTTACAACTATACCCTTCACTGTATTTGCTGCCACAATTCATTTATTACCCACGATTTTGAAGGACAATTAAGAACAACATACATAGTCCTACATAATACATGATCCTATATAGATAACTAGTCATGGACTTCGTTGTTCAACATAAGTAAACTAGCATTAATAAAACAAAAAAACTTGTCCGAGTTCTCAAACAACATCCAGCATACATTTCATCCAAGCAGCCTCGTTGTGCACTCTTCTTCTTCTTCTTCTTCTTCTTCTTCTTCTTCTTCTGTCCTTTGGCAAATACTGGAGTCAAGTCATCATACACAGGGAATGGCTTCTTGTTCAGACCTCGACAAGTCGGATACATCTGCAAAAGACAGCACACCATAAATACATGCATACATACTTGGAGGATTGTACAACATATAAGCAACCTAGTATAATGCTACAAAGGACAACACACCATAAATATATGCATACGTACTTGTTCAAAATCATCCCATTTCCCATCAGGGCATGTGACACACTTGTTTACCTCACCCATCCCATCCACTTTGATTCCTCATGAATGTGACAGCCTGCCAGTTTTTCTTCAACTTCTTAATCTGTCCTTCAATATGGGGTCTTCCCCTAACGTCACAGCCTGGTACCTTCTGTTCCAACATCTTTTCGAGTGCTGCATATCCGCCATTTTTGCAATTGCCATCCACAATGAGCCCCTTCTCCATCAGTTCCAAAATGCATTCAACCAAAGGCTTGTCAAGCTTCTCAGGCCAAAATGAGTACTTTTTGGAGGTTGCTCCATCCTTATCTCCACCATCATGTCTCTTTCTCCCCATCCTACAAGACAACAAGGTGGTTTGATATAAAATAATGCAGAACTAGACCTAAAATAATGTATCATCCCATGATGGTCAAATGTATAAATGGCGTATCTATTACAATGTCAGCAACAGCAGTAGTAATGAATGATGGAAGATTACAAAGGCAGCAGCAGCAAAAGTAAATTATCAACATTAAACAAACAAGAAGCATGGCAGCTATATATCTATTTACTCTTACCATCCACACAGACACAGTCTTTGTATCCTTTATACTCAATTCATTTTTAACTTTTAACATTTCTCGAACCAAATGACCCTATTATGTTATGATAGTAGTTGAGATAAGAACAACCCTAGCCCACAAGTCCACTAACGCCTCTCCCTGAGAACTGAGCAGCTGCTACTTCTGGCAGAAGTAGTTGGATTTATTACTTTATGTGACCATCCACAATACAAAATCATTGCGGCTGCAAATTTCAATACAAATCTAGAAAAGCATTTGTATCATTTTAAATTTGGAAAGAAAAGAAGGGGCAAACTAGGTTACAACTAAACCAGGTTTATGAGGAGATTTAACATAATTTGCAGCTAATTTCCTTCCTCTCCCCATTCTTCTAACCATCTTGTTCGATGTTTTAGTTTCAAACAAGAAAGGAAAGTTAACACCATTTATGCACATTTACAAATTACAAACACGTTTTTAGTTGACCCATTTCCCCAACTATTAAGAACCCATCTCCCTCTAGAGCCCAGCCGAGTATTTGGTACCCAACACAAACAAAAACCCGTCAGCATGTTAAGTACTTAGTAAAGGTACTTTTAAGTTTTGGAGGGTTTTAGTTTGCATTTGTATCATTCAGGTAGCCATAATGGTCAACCTTACCGGGCTTAAAAGAACAAAAAACCCACTATCCCCATCCTCGTTCATAGCTGTTGAACAAACAAAATAACAAAAACCAAAAGGATAAGAAGTACCCTACAACAACCTACACTAAAACATAGCTTCTGCCAGACCTCTTGATTTTACAGTGATTCCATTTCCACCCAAGTTCAACATAGGTCAATCATGTCAATCCCAGTACTTGACACAAAAGAGCCATGAGAAACTCCTCCTACCTAAACCCCCAAATCATCATATCAAACGAGTTTGTACTAAGTACATAGACTCCTAAGTTACTAGAAACCATTCTTGCAATAATAAACACTGTCCCTAATTCATTATATTATCGTATCTAAAGATTCAATCAGAATAAAGTTTTGGGTGAACATCTTTGAATAGTTTAAACAAAGAGCTATCAAGCATCCTATCCAAGGATTCACATGGAAGAAATCAATGCACAATCAGCAGGTTGAGCATACATGAAGGGCCAATAGAGGAAAATGAAGAATTGTATCGATTGGATTTAGTACTGCCATGCGGTGATTCATAAATAAAAAAGCAAACTGAAGAAGCATACAAGATTGGTAAGAACCATAAAAGCTCGCCGACAATTCCCTCCCTAACCCCTAACCCCAACCCCTCGACAACAAAATCGGCAAACCCTAGAAATCACAACCAGATTCCATAAGGATAAGGTGACGAACCTAGTATCTTGTCACTGCAAACGGGTTTATTGAAGAAACTCGCTCTCCCTCGCTTCCATCGCTGCTGAGCGTCCTCCTCTGGCCGAGATCACCAACTTCTTTCTATCGCAACGACGGTAGGTTAGGGGAGACGTTTCTCGCGAATGATGAAGAATGAGAGTTCTGTCCGTAAAATTATGGTTAAGGGTATAATAGGTATAACCAAAAAACAGTAGGGACACGCTGGGAAGAAAATGAAAAACTAAGGCCGGAATTTAAAATACTTGGGGATTGGTAGCTATTTCCAATTCTCGATTGGGTCGGATTTAAAATTCTCTATGGACCAAATCCTGACTATTTTTAGAGCTATCCAAACAAAGGAATGTGTTAAATTCCTGAACGGGCCAGGAATTGGGCCAAATCCCTGCCCAATTTCCCTGATCCAAACGACCCCAAGGAGAATTCGGTACCTGGAATCTATCAGCTTAATCCAAAAAACTGCGGTCTTATCATCAGTTAGTGAAAGAATTGATTTCCTTTAACTAATTAATCCTCAATTCCGAACCAAATCATCCAAATTTGATAGTACATATCCGTTATCATGCCCTAACTAGTTTGGATTTTTTTTTATACTCAAACTCTTATAAGATTCTGATAGTAAATCATAATCATACTCATATGCATTTGGATTTTAGATACCCCTGGATATATTGTGAGAGCATCAACCGATTGACAAAATGATGGAAATATTGTGAACTCTGAATAGGTCAACCTGAACAAATTGGTGGAAAAAGTGATAGTCAAGGGCTGAAGTATATATGTGACTCCCCAATTACCCGAACAGAGCACAAGTACCACACGCAATATCTTGTTATCCGAAAGTGCCTCAACCTTTATTAAGAAACAAAAACGAGTTTCATAAACTTCAATGAAGTCATGATACAACTAGTAACTAAGCATAATGTCAAGTGTGTCAAACAAATGTTCTCCTACAGTAAGACCATGCCCTGATTGGCTAAATGATAATCAACTACGTTCGCCTATATATAGACAGGCTCAATGTGTACTGCCAAATCTCGAGCTATAACCAGCGTATGATGTCAACAACATAAGTGTAGTGAGGATGCCTCTCTATCTCTCTCCTCTCTCTTTCTACATTTTGGGAAAGCTAATAACCGTGTTTCTGGAGACCAGAGAAAAACTGAGGTTCGGTATGAGATTTCTAGAGAAAGAGTCTCTACCTTTCCTCTCCCTTTCCCGTCGCACCTCCTCTCCCTTAGGAACAATCTCTGTAAGTTTGGTATGTCAGCCATGGCAGGTTTTGGTTGAGGGAAGAAGAAGAAGAAGCCATAGCTTTTAGTGGTTGGTTTTTGCTGGTCAAAATCGTGCATTTATTCAAGCAATAGTGAGGAAACAGAGGTTGAGGGGAAAACAGAGGTTTAGGAAGGAAGGGGATTGAGGGAGAAGGTAGGAAGTTGAGGTTTTTTCCCTTGCTTGCTGTCAATTTTTTTGTTGTATACAACTTTTCTAATAATGGATGATTGAGCCCTTGTTATGTTAGTTTACAACGCTTGATTTATTAACGTACAAACCATGATTGAGCCCTTGTTATTGGGTTAAACTTAATGGTAATTGAGCACGGTAGGACTGCTCTGTTTTGGTGGCAGGAAACATAGTCAAAATGATTTATTAATGTACAAACCATAATTGCGGTCCAAATGCGACGCGGTCCAAACCGCTAATTTATGCGGTTTGGTTTGACTGCACCAATAATTTCGCGATCGAACATGCACTGCGATCCGATTAAGATACGGTGCGATCCAAACCACACCGATGCCCACCCCTATTTTCGAGTGTTGTTTTACTCGGGTTGGGTTCAGTTTGACTGAACTAATAATCGAGTGCCCACACCTAACTTAAAAGACGCTTTCATTATGTTTTTTTCCTACTTTTTTCTACTTTTCCATGCTTTTGATCCATGGAAACTCAAATTTCATGGTCATGGCTAGGGCTGCTAAACGGTCCAATTTGATTAAAACCAGACCGGATTGACCCGGTTTTATAAAATCGGATTGGACATATACACGACCGAAGACGGGATTGGATTGGTGCACGGTTTTAATCAAACCGGATTAGATACAATACGGTTTGGTCCGGTTTTGATCGGAAAACCGTTTTGGTCGAGGGATAGAGCTTCGTCGCTCGCCGTTTGCTTCGTCGGAGAGAGGATGGTGGGAGGGGCGGGAGATTGACTGCTGCGTCGCTTGCCTTTTGCTGCGTCGTCACCGTCGTCGAGAGATGGAGCTCGACTGATCCTCGAACGCGAAGGAAGATCTCGAAGGTGTGAACGGAGAGGAGATGGAGGGGAGCAAATCGATGCCGCCTCCGCCTTGCTTCGCCGTAAGTGGTCAATCGTCGCTGCAGCTAAACGGTGGAGATCTTCTTGAGGGCGAGTCAGGGAGAGAAACAAGGCACAACAGTGGTGATAGGGAGGTGGAGGAAGTTACAGCCAAATGGAGGGGGGAGATCGATTACGATTAGGGTTTGACTGAGTTGGTGGAGTCTGGAGTGGGCTATCGAGTGCAGGCTGGGAGTGGGAGGTGAATCGCGGGCCTGGCCGAGGGTGCTTGTGAAACATGGGCCAAGTCAAGGGATGGCCATGGGCTAGTCATTAGTGTGCTGAGGTCTGGGCTGGGCTTAATTTATCAATCGATTTTAAACAGTTTTCTGGTTTTAAACCGGACCAAACTGGGCCAGTTTTTCCCAGACAATTAGCTACCGACAATTGGATTGCATGTTTGGGAATCCAATTTTCGGTTGGAACCGGGGCGGTTTAAACTACCCAGTTTCCGGTTCGACCGGAAAACCGGGACAGGATGCTCAGCCCTAGTCATGGCCTTTATAAAAATATATAAGTAAATATGAATACCAAACTCAAGTATTTCACTGATTATAATAGAACGACATAATTATCCTTATTTATTAGCTAAATTACTTATAAGAGAGGTAATACATAGATTATGCATGCCTAACCCTACTCTTTTCGCCGATATGTTCACCTAATATATGTAGTTTCTCTTAAACTCGGCATTCTAGGCGACTCCAAATTCCATTATACGGGCTAAGCGGCAACCTGCTATATGGCAATGGAACCAACTCTTCTACTATTTCTAAATGCTTGATAATAACTTTGTCACTTTCGTGTTTTAGAAGATGGATTTTTCAATGAATATTATTTCTATGGGAAATTAATAAGGATATAGTTGGAAACTTTTAGTTTAATTCAATTATGAATGTATGCCAAATATGGTTTGAGAATTCAATTCATTTTATTTCTAAGGAATAGAATAAGTCATACCAAGCACAAGAATTCATTTTACAATCAATTCTACAGAGTAATTCATCGAAATGAATTCTCGATTCATTTTTTTTCTCGTGAACAGGAGGCCGAGACCAAGAAGGGAGAAGATTTCACGAGGAGAGGAGGAGAAGGGGAAGGAGGACGGGCAATCACCCTACGAGTAGTGGTCACACCTCTAGAGTCATCCTGAAGAATTGGGCCAACACCCATCGGCGGACTCGCCAACTCATATCTACCGTAGAGATAGACGAGACTGTGCTTCGAGAGTTAGTCCGCGACTCTATTCCCTTCCCTGTAGATATGAGTAATGCGAACCAACCAGTCCAGACCAAACTTCCTGCGGATCGCGGAGAGGATAGTAGCATAAGGGTGAATTAGGTCATTTTCAGAGTTGATCAACTGGATAGCTAACTGGGAGTTCGTCTCCACCTGCAGAGTCCTGCACCCATTGTTCCACGCCAAATCGAGGCCGTACATGATAGCCCAAAGCTCAGAGAGGACTGTTGTAGCGCTGCCAAACGATTCGAAGTGAAATAATGAATAATAATAATTAATGGGACTTTTCGTTACCCAATACTTAAATGTAGTTGTTATTTAGATCATTCATATGTGAGTAGTTATGTGACTAATTTAGGGCCGAATGGCTGATTTGTTTCCTCCATCATTTTCTTTGTATATAGTTCTTTAGACATGTCTTTTCTATTTGCTAGAATTACAATTCATGTGAGTAGTTATGGGAATATAATTTAAGTTGCAACGTGATCGATGAATCTTTTTGTTGTTGCTGTTAATATGATGGTTTAGCAATCAAGGTTGAATATGTTCGAAGAATAAAACATGTGGTTAGTAATGTTGCTACTAGCTGGTTCTTAGGGATATTAGGTCAATGGTTATTGGTTAGAGTTCAGTTGATGGTAGAGTTCGTTGCTAATTGGTAGATATACCATAATTTGAGATTTTGATTTTGATTTATTACTCTTATAATTCAGTAATTCATCAAGACAAAATTGTCGAATTTTGATTATGTATTTATGTTATCTAATATCAAGATTTTTAATGGGTTGTTTGGGGGAATGATATGGTTCCAAGTTCCACACATACATCTTTAAAATTTCATATTTGACTCTTCTAAAGATGATGTGAGAATTGAGATTGTGCTCCGATCCAATTACACATTTTTCTGAAATTCCACACCATTTCTTTTTTTTTTTCTCTTGATTTTTACGTCTTACAACTAATTCATACATGTCAATTTTTAAATTGTTAGCCTATGATCACATTCAAATCGAATTGATCTAAACATATGATGATTGACCCATAAGAAAATAGGGTTAATTCCATAAATATTGTTTTTTTTTAATTTACCAAGAATATTGTGTTTTTAAAAGTATTTACAACAATATTGTGTTTTTTGATATGTCTAAAGCGCCAAAGCCTTGGACTCTGGCGCCGCCGCTGGGTGCGTTTTTAACAAACAAAACATAGCGGCGGCGCCACAGACTGGGGCTTTGTCGCTTTTTAGAGGGTAATAGCGACGGCGCCCCAGACTAAGGCTTTGTCGCTGCCATTTTGTTCCACTCCAGCACCACCCCTCACCATATATACTGTACCTTTCCTTCGGTTCTTCATCACCAAAAAACTGAAAGAAGTTCTGAAAGAAGCTCTGGTGTTGCTGTCTGTTTGCTGGGAAGCTGGCTAATAACAGGTAAGAGTCGTAATTTTTTTTTCATGTATTCATCATAATGATTTTGTCTAGTTAGTAATGTAATTAGTGAGTTTGTTTTTTATGTAGTGATTTTAGAAGATTTGAACTAGCTGTTCGGTGGCGATCAGAGAAAGTAGAAGACAATTTGGGTGTCCATTTTGTTGGTGGTCTAAGTTTCCAGATGACTATTCCATCCAGGGTGAACTATCAGAAACTTTGTGATCATCTAATTCGGAGAATACGGATTAGAGACGAAACAGTACAAGATAGTGTTGTGATTACAGGTTTCACCTACTGTCTTCCAGAATGGCAGAATGGTGTTTTATTTCATTATGCAATGCCTATTGTCGATGATGATAGCTTAAATGTGCTTTGGAATTTTATGGCACAAAATCCTTATTGTTTGGGTGCTGAGATACATGCTGAGCTCAGTGAGAATCGGGGTGGAGAGGAAGACGATGATGACGATGATGACACATGGAGCATGCCATCCGATCATGATTATGATGACGGTGATGACGGAGATGAGGAAGACGATGATGATGAGGAGGAGGAGGACGACGACGACGGGGAGGGAGGAGAACAACCTAATTTTCCTCCATATTTTTACTTGCAGGGTAATGAAGAGGACGAGGAATTATCATATGCTGATTCATATGGCGTAATTCCAGGGTCTACTGTTGGTGGTTTTGATGGAGAATTCTACAAGGGGCAAATATTTCACTCGAAACAAGCTGCACAGGTGGCGATGAAACACTATGCACTACAACGCAACTTTCAGTATAACGTGGTGGAGTCGTCACCTTCAATCTGGAAGATCAGATGTTTGATGCACAAGGAGGACAAATGTCCTTGGATGGTGCGGTTTGGATGTCGAGAAATGGGAGGCGATTGGAGCGTGAGAAAGGTCGAGTTGGTGCATACTTGAGCAGTACGACTCAACCGACGGATCATCGCCATCTTGATGTCGACGTGATATCTGAGGCCGTCAAACACTTGGTACGTGCCCAACCAAATCTCAGTGTTCTAACTGTTCAGGCTGAGTTGAAAGATAAGTTTAATATGCAAGTTACTTACAAGAAGGCTTGGTATGGGAAACAAAGAGCATTGGAGAAGTTGCATGGAAATTGGGAAGAATCCTATGATTTTTTGCAAACATTCTTGCGGGTGGTCAAGAGAAAAATGCCAACATCGGCGATTCATTGGGTAAGAGTTCCTTCGACTCAACCAGGTCATTCAATATTTCAGCGAGTATTTTGGGCTTATGGACCGAGTATAGATAGATTCAAGAATTGTCCAGGCGTTATGGTTGTTGATGGAACATTTCTTACTGGGAAGTATAAAGGAGTGCTATTCATGGCGAGCTCATTTGATGGACGGAAGAAGATTTTTCCAATTGCATTTGCCATAGTGGAGAGTGAGAATATCAGAACGGACTCCTGATCTCATCCCATCACGTAAACCCTGCTGAACGGACTCCATGGAGTCGTACTGCAAATTTAAATGGAAAATATCAGAAATTCTATACATCTAAAAACAATTAAAACACAAATTTTAATTACTAAAAAAACTCACCGCTGCGTTCAGTGCAGCAACTCTCCGTGTGCCTGAACGTCTAGTGACATCTCTGTACCACTCTAGATGCTCCGAGTGGTAAGCTAATTCTTCGTCAGTGTAGCTCGTCTGCGCTACGAACTCATGTCGACGGTCCCACAGCTCAATCGACTCGCTGGCTGCCTGTATGAACTGCTGTCCACGTGAAGGCCCATGCTGTCCCTGACGAAGAAAAAATTTAATCTCAGCCGCGGAATGTGGAGGATGAGGCCGATCTTGTCTCGTCCCAAACTGTCCGAGCACGCGATCTGGATGATGCCACATCTGCGATGAGAAGCAGATCAACGGAACAACTGCTCGAAACGTGTGGGACTGGACCACAGTACCGCTATAGTCCACACCTCTATGATAGTACGGACACCACTGCACACAAGAATTGGTCACATAATTACTCCTAAATCTATAACAAATCAAATAAAACTATTCTATAAAACGAAATGATATATACTAACCACGAATGTCGTGCACTCATCAAACCACAACTTGTACAAGTAGAACTGATCTCCATGCTGACGGGTGTGGGCCGGAAGCAACCGAAGGCCACGTGGCACTGCGTCCTGAGTAATCTGCTCACCCGTCACCGCATGTAGTGGTGATGTATGAGGAAACCGCTCCCACGTCCAGATCATCAGCAAGGCGGCCCATCCACCAAAGTCACCACCCAGTGAAGAAGATGCCGTCATCTGCAGCGCCGATCTACCCATCTCACGGTACAAGTACGACAACACAGCTGCTCCCCAAGCAAACCTCCCCGCTCTGTGCCAATCCTCCACCAAAAGTAGGTACTGCAGGTGGACTGAACCTCCAGACCGATCGGAGAACAAGACACCTCCCATCAGAGACAACGCATACGCTCTTGCAAACTACTCTATCGTCTGGGGTGATGCAGAAAGCGGCAGCTCATCGAAAGTCTCCCGCAGCCAAGAAATCCGGATGACGCCGCCACCAAGATCAGTAGGAGCCTGTCCTAACAGTCGAAGACACATACCCGACCAGTCCTCGTCGGGTATGTCTACTACGACGGCATCACCGTCAATCGCTAATCCGGTGAGTGTCGCAACGTCCTCTAGGGTGATCGTCACCTCACCGAACGGCATGTGAAATGTCGATGTCTCGGGTCGCCAACGCTCTACGAGCGCAGTAATCAAACCCGGATCACCGGTAAGAGGAGCTAGTGGCAGAACACTAGACAGGTCGGCATCAACGAGATACGGCAGGTACAGTGGATTGAATCAGACTAAATTTCCAGTATGACGAATGTGGAATGGTCGATCACCAGCCTATAATTAATGCACAAAACTATATTAATTCAATCCCTTCAATTCACCTAATATTTATATTTATATATCTAAACTAAACTTTTTCTAATATAATATAATCGTAACTTAATCTAATTCTATTCCTAATTTAATTTAATTCCAATCGTAATTTAATTTAATTTAATTCTATTCTATCATATCATATTATTCAGCTAATAAAACTATAGAAATAGTTTGAAAAACTTACCTCATTCGCCCAAACTGCGTCAATCCGATGGTGACCTTGCCCCCAAAGAAGGCCCGGATCCATCGGAGAAGTATCGATCGTCGCAGGTGGTGCTCTCATCGAACAAGGATCGATAAGCCTAGGAACTGGAAAAAAAAATATTAGAACATAAAAAAAAATTTAGAACATAAAAAAAATAGAAATGGAAAAAACCCGCCGCCGGCGAGAGTCCGGCCGCCGCCGACGAGAATTCGGCACTCACCCCTGTACCGTTCGCCGCCGCCGCCGCCGCCGCTGTCACCGCCGCCGCCACGCCGCCCTCGCCGCCCTCGGCCTCTTCCTCTGCCGACTGGGGCCTGCTCGTCGTCGGACATCTCGCGTCGCCGCTTTTGCTGGGGCTCTGCCGCTTTCTTCTTCGCGCCGCCGCCTCGGTCTGTGGCGCCGCCGCCTTAAACTTGGCTTCGCCGCTCTGGTTATTTGCGTCGGCGCTGGTAGGGTGAAGGAGGGGATGGAGGAGGAAGGAGGACGAGAGAGGTGGGAAGGGATGAGGAGGGAGGGTGTCTGCGAGAGGGCGAGGGAGGGGAACTAAAAAACAAAGGTATCCAGCGACGGCGCCCCAGTCAATGGCGCCGCCGCTGCCTTTTTATTTAAAAACGCTATTTGCTGAGTCTCGCGCGCCGTCGCCAACTTCCTCCTAAAAAACACAATATTGTTGTAAATACTTTTAAAAACACAATATTCGTGGTAAAATAAAAAAAAACAATATTTATGGAATTAACCCAAGAAAATAAGAATACACATGTCTGCCATGAAAAATTAAGAAAATTTAAATTCATTATTCAAATCATCATATATAACCTTGCCATTCAAACGTAACACCAAAACACACGAACTAACCAACCAAACTAAAAGCAAAATTCAAAAATTAAACACGTTTTTTATTACGTTTATGGAACCATAACATGATAATTCCTTCCTCCAGCTTTCACAACCATACTGTCCTCTTGACATCAACCGCCGATGCAACGAGAGTACACCGGAGCCGGGGCCGCAGCTTTCCTAGTCAGCTCTTCTTGCTTGATGCGGCTCACCGCAGCAGCAGGTTTGGGGGTCGCCATAGCCGCCATAGCCGGCGCCGCAGCCTCTTGCTTGATACTAGCGCTTTGCTCCTGCTTCACTGCTACAGTTTCCACCACCTTGGGAGCAGCAACAGGGTTTGCAGCATAGAAACCAGAACTCCTCTGCATCTTTACTCTAAAGTAGTCTTGATTAGCAACCAAGTTGTTATTATAGACAATCTCAATTATCTCTCACTTTTCTTTTGCCAATTAGCTAGCTAGTTTGTGTTTGGATGGAAGAATCGAGCAGATGGATGGAGTATTTATTTATACATATAGAGAAGGGAATGAAAGGGTTGTTGATGGATCAATGTTCATGCATGCACAACTATAATTTATTACGATCGGGGAAGTCTAGGAGTTCTTCGCGGGGGCGCATGGTTAAATTCGTGGGTTGGTTCGTTGCACCATTTCTCACCAATCCTACTCGTTTTATCCATTAATGAAGATGAAATCGATGACTTGATGAGATAATGGTTTGGGATTTAGGGTTAGTACTTAGTACGTAGGCATTAGGAGTGGAGGCCAAGTTGGAGTCGTACGTAGTTGAATCGGGTAGGTTTAGGGTTTAGTATTAGGTTTAGTGGTCTATATATAAATGTAACTACGACATTAGGTTTTGTTGTAGTGTCTATAGATTGCACAACACGAACTAATTTAGTAAATGGAATTGATTGGCAAGAGGAAGTCTATCAAGAGGTTGTTCATGCTGTTATTGTAAGGCACAAGTAGAATAACAGCACCTACCGTATTTCTCATCTAGCCCCCGACCTCCCTCGGCACCGACGGGATTAGGTCTTGCAGCTGTTGATCGCTCACCGACGAGGATTGTTTTTCTCCCAAATCAAATTCCTGGCCGAGTGTGCTTGTGAAACATGGGCCAAGTCAAGGGATGGCCATGGGCTAGTCATTAGTGTGCTGAGGTCTGGGCTGGGCTAAATTTATCAATCGATTTTAAACAGTTTTCTGGTTTTAAACCGGACCAAGCTGGGCCAGTTTTTCCCAGACAACTAGCGACCGACAATTGGATTGCATGTTTGGGAATCCAATTTTCGGTTGCAACCGGTGCGGTTTAAACTACCCAGTTTCCGGTTCGACCGGGAAACCGGGACATGATGCTCAGCCCTAGTCATGGCATTTATAAAAATATATAAGTAAATATGAATACCAAACTCAAGTATTTCACTGATTATAATAGAATGACATAATTATCCTTATTTATTAGCTAAATTACTTATATAGGAGGTAATACACAGATTATGCATGCCTAACCCTACTCTTTTCGCCGATATGTTCACCTAATATATGTAGTTTCTCCAAAACTCGGCATTCTAGGCGACTCCAAATTCCATTATGCGGGCTAAGCGGCAACCTGCTATATGGCAATGGAACCAACTCTTCTACTATTTCTAAATGCTTGGATAATAACTTTGATCTAACTATTGATATGACTTGAATCGGATTATCAGCCGCTACGACTGGTAATCGGGGGTCTTGCTGTTATTTGGGTACGGGTTCTGGGCCTGGTCTGTAACCGTTTCCTTTGCCAGATTGGATTAGGTTTAGACCCACATGGAGAAGTACTATAAATACTTCTCATACTCCTCTGTAATCTCCTCGATATAGTGAAATTTGCTCTATCTCGCCCGTGGACGTAGCTAACACGCATCGTATTAGTGAACCACGCAAATCGTGTGTCGTGTTTTCGATTCTCGCTTTCGTATTCTTGCTCTGTCGATTCCTGCATTTTCCCGATCCGTAGCAGCGCGTTTTTAACAAGTGGTATCAGAGCCGCGGCTGGAAATCAGGCTAGGGTTTTCGATTCAGAAGAATGACGTCGGTGAACATGAAGATCGAAAAGTTCACGGGGAAGAACAGCTTCGCTATATGGCAGATCAAGATGCAGGCTTTATTAAAACAGCAAGGGCTGTGGGGGCCGCTGTCTTCGAAACAAAAGAAGGCAGCGGTCGATGACGATGAGTGGAATACCCTGGAGGAGAAGGCCCACTAGACCATCATGCTATCGTTGTCTGATGACGTCATCATTGAAGTCGCTGCTGAGAAGACTGCCGCGGGCTTGTGGTTAAAGTTGGAGAGTCTGTATATGACGAAGTCCTTAACCAACAAGCTGCATCTCAAGCAACGGTTGTTCAGCTTGAGGATGCAAGAAGGTACGCCTTTGAGGGAACATCTCGAACAGCTTAACTCTATTTTGCTGGATCTGCGTAATATAGATGTTCAAGTTGATGACGAGGATGCTGCCCTAATCCTACTGGTTTCTTTGCCGAGTTCATATGAGAATTTCGTTGATTCTTTTATTGCTGGAAAAGAAAGCGTGTCGTTGGAGGATGTCAGGTCTGCTCTTCATACGAGAGAGATCAGGCATAAGGCGTCCGGATCTGGTACAGGTGGTGAGGCATCGGGTTTGGCTGTTACAGGTGGAAAGGGAAAGAAGAAATCTGGTAAAGGAAATTCGAACAAGAATTCCAAGGGTCCCGGTCCACAGCCAGGTGATGCTTGTCACAACTGTAATGAAGTGGGGCATTGGAAGTACAATTGTCCCAAGAGAAGAGGGAAACAGAAGAAACAAGGTTCAGTTGCCGTGGCAGAAGTGGACAACAGTTCTAAAGACGATCTCGCCTTGGCTGTAGATGAGAAGGCACATCGTGGGGATGTGTGGTTTCTGGATACTGCAGCCTCATACCATATGTCTCCGAACAGGGATTGCTTCACAACCTACGAGCAGATAGATGGTGGTAACGTCGTCATGGCAAATGGAGCTGTCTGCAAGGTTGTTGGAATCTGGTCCATAAAGGTTCGGACACATGATGGTTCGTTCTGTACCATGAATGATGTCAGGCATGTTCCATGAATGATGTCAGGCATGTTCCACGAATGACAAAGAACCTGATCTCCTTGAGTCTACTCGACAGCAAGGGTTTCAGTTTCAAAGGAAAAGGTGGAGTTGTGTATGTCTGCAAAGGTTCAAGGATGGTGCTGAAGGGCGTGAAGCGTGGGACCTTGTATGCATTACAAGGGTCTGTGTTGTCTGGTTCTGCTGCCGTTGCATCGTCTCAGGTTCAACAGGAAGATATGACCACTCTCTGGCACATGAGACTGGGGCATATGAGTGAACGGGGGATGCAAGTTCTGTCGAAGAGGGATCTTCTTTGCGGGCACAAGATGCAGAATTTGGAATTCTGCGAGCATTGTGTATTTGGGAAGCTACATCGCAGCAAGTTTCCCAAGAAGGGTATCCACCGGACGAAGGGGATACTAGATTACCTCCACTCCGACTGTTGGGGTCCTTCACGAGTTGAATCCATTGGAGGCAGTAGGTATTTTCTGTCTATTATTGATGATTATTCGAGATTTACTTGGATTTTCATGATGAAGCAGAAAAGTGAGGCTTTCACGAAGTTCAAGCAGTGGAAGACATTGGTGGAGAATCAGACCGGTAAGAAGATCAAGAAGCTGCGAACGGACAATGGTCTGGAGTTCTGTAGTTCTGAGTTCAACGAATTCTGCAAGGATGAAGGGATTGCCCGTCATCGGACTGTGAGAGATACACCCCAGCAGAATGGCGTTGCAGAAAGGATGAACCAGACATTGTTGGAGAGAGCACGGTGCATGCTCCCTAATGCTGGACTAGAGAGAAGATTCTGGGCAGAAGCAGTGAACATGGCGTGCTTCCTGATCAACCGTGGACCTCACACAGGTATTGAGTTGAAGACTCCTTATGAGGTGTGGTATGGTAAGCCTGCTGATTACTCTTCACTGAAAGTTTTTGGGTGTCCTGTTTATTATCATGTGGATGAGGGTAAACTGAACCCAAGGGCAAAGAAGGGTGTATTTGTGGGTTATGGAGATGGAGTTAAGGGATTTCGAGTCTGATCACCTTCTGAGCATCGAGTTATACTCAGTAGAAATGTGATATTTGATGAGAAGTCTATGTTTAACCCCATGTTGAAGGTAGCAGGAATGTTGATAAGCAGGTGGAGCTGCAAACTCTAAATGAGAGTGAGTTTGAGCGCCAAGGTGGAGAAGATCAACATGATGAGGATGTCTCTGCAGAGCCAGAAATTTCAGAGTCCAGTGCACGAGCTCAACAGTCTATTGCTTCCGGTAGACCGAAGAGAGCGACTGCAGGAGTACCTCCGCAGAGGTATGGCTTCGAGGACATGGTGGCGTATTCATTTCAGGTTGCTGAAGAAGTGGATGCAGGAGAGCCACAGTCCTACAGAGAAGCAGTTTCGGGTGGTGAAGCTGATCAGTGGCTTGCCGCAATGGGAGATGAGATGGAATCCCATGACAGGAATCAGACTTGGGAGCTAGTCAAACGACCACAGGGAAGGAAGATTGTTACAAACAAGTGGATCTACAAGAAGAAGGAAGGAATCACTTCTAAAGAGGGCATGAAATTTAAAGCTCGGGTGGTTGCACGAGGCTTCTCGCAGAGGGAAGGAGTTGACTACAATGATATTTTCTCACCAGTGGTCAGACATACTTCGAGCAGAGTGCTACTAGCAATAGTGGCACATTATGACTTGGAGCTCGAGCAACTAGACGTGAAGACAGCTTTCCTACATGGAGAGTTGGAGGAAGAAATTTACATGACTCAGCCAGAAGGATTCGAGGTTCCTGGAAAAGAAGACTATGTTTGTAAGCTGAAGAAGTCCTTGTATGGACTTAAGCAGTCTCCGAGGCAGTGGTACAAGATATTTGACAGTTACATGCTTGAGCTGGGCTATAGCAGAAGTCCATATGATTGTTGTGTGTATCACAACAAGGTGGAGGATGGTTTGATGATCTATCTTGTTATGTATGTGGATGATATGCTCATAGCTGCGAGGTCGAAGTCTGATATCCAGAAGTTAAAGGGGCTTCTCAGTGCTGAGTTTGAGATGAAGGATTTGGGAGCTGCTCAGAAGATCTTGGGTATGGAGATTTACAGGGACAGGTCGAAGAAGAAGCTTTTCTTGTCACAGAAGAGCTACATCCAGAAGATACTGTCAAGGTTTGGCATGTCTTCAGCAAAGCCCTTAAATACTCCTAGTGCTTCAAATGTTCATCTATCCTCAGCTTATGCACCACAGTCGGAGGCTGAGAAGGAGTATATGTCGAGAGTCCCATATGCTAGTGCAGTAGGTAGCTTGATGTACGCTATGGTATGCACTAGACCTGATCTTGCACATGCTGTTAGTGTTGTCAGCAGGTTTATGATGCAACCTGGGAAGGAGCATTGGCAGGCTGTGAAGAGGATCTTTCGGTACCTTAAGGGTACACATGATGTGGGGATTAGCTTCGGAAGTGATACAGAGTGCTTGGTGTCTGGGTATTCTGACTCGAACTATGCTGGAGATGTTGACACGAGGAGATCGATGACCGGTTATGTATTCACTCTTGGGAGTTCTGTAGTGAGCTGGAAGGCAACTTTGCAGTCGGCGGTGACATTGTCTACTACTGAGGCAGAGTATATGGCGTTGACAGAAGCTGCCAAGGAGGGAATATGGTTGAAGGGACTGGTTGGTGATCTTGGTCTACATCATGATCAGGCAGTGGTGTATTGCGACAGTTTGAGTGCAATATGCTTGGCCAAGGATCAAGTCCACCATGAGAGGACTAAGCACATTGATGTGAGGTATCATTTCTTGAGGACAGAGAAGAGGATTAAGGTGAAGAAGGTTGGCACCGCGGATAATCCTGCTGACATGTTCACGAAGCCGGTTCCACATGGCAAGTTCCAACACTGCTTGGACTTGCTGAATGTCTTGAGTGGGTGACTCCGCCCTGCGGGGCATTGATGGCGGGAGAGAGAGAGAAGGAGCAGAGTACATCAGAGATTTCAGAGGAAGAGGATTCAAGTCAAGGTGGAGATTTGTTGATATGACTTGAATCGGATTATCAGCCGCTACGACTGGTGGGGGTGCGGGGGCAACGCCCCCGGCCCACGGTGTATGGGCTCAATGTTATTTGGGTACGGGTTCTGGGCCTGGTCTGTAACCGTTTCCTTTGCCAGATTGGATTAGGTTTAGACCCACATGGAGAAGTGCTATAAATACTTCTCATACTCCTCTGTAATCTGTAATCTCCTCGATATAGTGAAATTGGCTCTCTCTCGCCCGTGGACGTAGCTAACACACATCGTGTTAGTGAACCACGTAAATCATGTGTCGTGTTTTCGATTCTCACTTTCGTATTCTTGCTCTGTCGATTCCTGCGTTTTCCCGATCCGTAGCAGCGCGTTTTTAACACTAACCATATGATGATTGACCCATAAGAAAATAAGAATACACATGTCTGCCATGAAAAATTAAAAAAATTTAAATTCATTATTCAAATCATCATATATAACCTTGCCATTCAAACGTAACACCAAAACACACGAACTAACCAACCAAACTAAAAGCAAAATTCAAAAATTAAACACTTTTTTTATTACGTTTATGGAACCATAACTGATGTCGTCTCCCAGAGCTTCGCACCTCCACCGCTGCAGCTGCAGCCATCGGCTCCTCCGTTGCCAGCATGGCTCGAGACCTCCCCTCTTATGCAACAACAAAACCTTCCCCGGTTCTCGTATCAAACCCAATATCTGACTGTGTAGTGGTCGAGATCAAGGAACCCGAGCCAGTGGTTGCCGGGAACCCCATGGACAATTCAGGTTAGAGGCTGCACGATTTTCCCTGAACTTTCTATCCATTCATTGATTTGTTTTGGAAGCAAATTGCTTGCTTAAGTAGTTACCCGTACTTAAATCTCGGTATGGTTTTTGCTTGTTGCAGGATATGTATATTAATGAGGATATTAATGAGGAAAAAGGAAGCAACATGTAGAAGAATAAAGAGGCAATATATTTCAGGGGATTCATTGCAAGCAGAGAGAGTGAAAGAATTTAGCGCTTCGACGCTTATGATATTTGATTGCGGTGAGTTTAGGGAGAGGGTAGAGCTTTTTGATTGTGAATGGATGCAAGTTATGTTGCAGGCTCTTCTGTATGAACCAAATTTCAGTCATTGCTTCTTCCCCTGTTTTCGGATTCAGGAAGTTCACATGAGATGAGCAGAGCCAGAGGAGCTAGTATATTGTGTTCCCATCCGATGATTTACCTTGACAGCCTGCTCAGCTGATTTACAAGCATGATCGACGTGTTCGACTCGCCTGATCTCGCTGTAGATTTCATTGGAAAAGTAGCAACATCCCCGACAGCATACACATCAGGGACGCTTGTTTTGAAGAATCCGTCGGTCTATAATCAATGAAGAGCCCAGTAGTTAGTTACTCTTCCATGAGGAGGTCATTTGGAAGCAATTTAGATCATTAACAAACCTTAAATCCACCCTTCTCTTCGTCAACCTGCCCCTTGAACAAGGCGGTAAGTGGTCTTCCTCCAACGCCAACAACAACAATGTCGGCCTCCAACACCCTGCCATCCTTCAATTTAACTTCCTTCAGCTGAGAACACCGTTGGAAGTTTCAGACAAACTTTCTAATGCATACCATAAATCTCTTAAAACATACAAAAAACAACACAAAGCAAACCACAAACATTTCTAAAGCAAACCAGAAACACAATAAAGAAAACCAGAAACCTCCTAATGCATACCACAAATCTCTTAAAACAAACCACAAACCTTAAAAAAAACCCACAACATTTGCGAAAGCACACCAGAAACCTCCTAATACAAACCAGAAACCTCCGAATACACACGACAAATCTCCTAAAACAAACCACAAACCTCAAAAAGCAAACCACAACATTTACGAAAGCACACCAGAAACCTCCTAATGCAAACCACAAACACAGTAAATCAAACCACAAAAAAGCAAACCATAAACGTCCTAATGCAAACGACAAATATATTAAAACAAACCAAAAACCTCACAATACAAACCACAAAGTTTTTGAAAGCAAACCAGTAACTTGTCAATGCAGACCACAAACACGATAAAGCAAACCACAAAAGGCATAAAAAAATATGAGAAACCAAACCATAAATCTCACAATGCTAACCATAACATCCGGTGATCGTTGACCGTTGACCGAACTCCGGTGACCGTCAGTGAGCACATTCCGACGCCGATAGGCATATTCCTGCCCCGATGACTAGATTCCGACGCCGGTAAGCATATTCCGACACCGGTAAGCATATTCCGGCGAGAAATAGCATATTCCGGCGACAAAAGCATATTCCGGTGACCGACGACCAGTTTCCGACGACAGTGGCAGAATTCCGGCGACCAAATTTTTGGGCAGAAATTTTTTTTTAATTTTTTTATTATTTAAACAGATTTTTCATAATGACAATTATACCCCTGCTTTGATTTTACACTAGGTCCACTCATCCAATAAAAAGTCATCACAATCCTAGCTTCCTATTGGTTGGAGACTAGTGTTGTTACAATAACAACACAAGGGGTGTTGTCATAGTAACCGGTCCCTTATTGTAAAGTGAACCATTTGCAGAAGAGTAAATGACACTCGATGCACGTGGTTTTCTCGAAGATCGATACTAGTTCAGGAAGATCATAGCAATAAGTTATGGTTTGCACTATGACTTTAGTTCGCAACTTTTGGCGACCGAGTTACTGGAAGTTCATGACAACAACCATGAGAAAATATAAAGCCCTTCGATAATCAACTAGGGCACGAGTGCTAATTACAAGTTGGACCCTCACAAAATAACTATTTAGATAAAATGTAAAATAAACATTTCTACACTCCCACTCAACCTGTAGCATGAACGTCATGAAAATCAAGATTAGATAAGAAATGTGAAATTGTTCCGTGTCGAGAGACTTTGTAAAGATGTCGGCTAACTATGAGTGGGAACCAATCTTTTGAGGAGAAATCTCTCCGGAAACGAAACGATTGACTACAAGGTAATAATCCATCTCCAAGTGATTAGTAAAATAGTGAAAGATGAGGTTAGCAGCAATGTGAAACTCAGCTTGATTATTACAGAATAGAGGAGCACGGAGTAGTTCAAGAGAGCCAGCAGTGGGAAAAACAAACCTTGACCAAATGGAGTCTTGAGGTAGCACAGAACTTGATGAGCGTCGTGTGATGACATGATTAGTACTCGGAGAGTGAACAAACTGATTCAATTCATTGATCACATATGCCATATCAGGCCGAGTCATAGTGAGATATAAGAACAACCCAAATTGACAAACCGATACAAAACTTTGTTGTCAATAAGATCATGCAATCAAATTTGGGTTTGTTTGAAGAACAAATCATGTAATTAATTTTGCTGATTTATAGGGGCATGAGGTCAATTGTTAGAGTTGGTTGATAATCGAGTTTGTTGCTTGGTAGTTGGTAGATTATACTATACTTATTTCCACTAATTCAACAGAGTTTTTGTCAATGTATAATAATCTGAATTTTATTTATTTATTTTGACTTCCTACTCTTATAAGTCACTAATTCACCAAGACAAGAAAAGTAATGTTGAATTCTTATTAACATAAAGACTTTTAAAGGGCTTTCTGGTTGAATGATTTGGGTCTAAACCCGGCCCACATGCATCATTAAAATTTCATATTTGACTGGCCTAAAGATAATTTGAGAATTCCACACCATCTCCTAGTTTTTTTTTTTTTTTTCAATTTTCACGTTTTACGGCTAATGCCTACATGTCACTTTCTTAAATTGTTAGCCAATGATCGTCAAATTTTGTTTTGAGCAAGAAAATAAGAATGCACAAGTATGTCAAAGAAAAATTATGAAATTTAAGTACTTTATTAAGATTCATCATATGGAATTAACCTTGCTATTCAAAAGTAACATAAAAACCAACGAACTAGACAGCCAAATAAAAAGCAGAACGAAATACTTTGCTGAAAATGATTTCATCTTTCTCCTGCTTTATGTGGATGACATGTTGATTGTGGGTCGGAATGTTGGAGAGATTGATAGATTGAAAAAGGAGTTGAGTATATCATTTGCCATGAAGGACTTAGGACCGGCGAAACAAATTCTAGGGATGAGAATCTCTAGGGATCGCAGGAATGGAAATTTTTGGTTGTCTCAAGAAAGGTATATTGAAAGAGTTCTTGAGAGGTTCAACATGAGCAAGGCTAAGGCGGTTAGTACTCCACTTGGAGGACATTTCAAATTGAGTTTGAAGCATTGTCCTACAAGTGAGGAAGAGAAAGTAGCAATGAAGAATGTGCCTTATGCATCAGCTGTTGGGAGCTTGATGTATGCCATGGTTTGCACAAGGCTGGATATTGCTCATGCCGTTGGGATTGTTAGTCGTTTTCTTTCTAATCCGTGGAAAGAACATTGGAGAGCAGTGAAGTGGATTCTTCGCTACTTGAGAGGTACTTCTAGAGTGTGTCTATGCTTTAGTAATGACAAGACCATACTTGATGGATATACCGATGCTAACAGGGCAGGTGATGTGGACTCTAGAAAGCCGACTTCTAGATACATGATGACTTTTGCAGGTGCTGCAGTTTCATGGCAATCTAAACTGCAAAAATGTGTTGCATTATCAACAACAGAAGTCGAGTACATAGTCGTGATGGATGCTTGCAAAGAGATGCTATGGTTGAAGAAGTTTCTCCAAGAGTTGGGCATCAAGCAAAAGAGGTATGTGCTCTATTGTGATAGTCAAAGTGCAATCCATCTTTGCAAGAATCCTACTTTCCACTCAAGGTCGAAACACATAGATGTTTGATATCATTGGATTCATGATGTTTTGGAAGAAAAGTTGTTGGAGCTAAACAAGGTGCATACGGATGACAATGGTTCGGACATGGTGACTAAGTCTCTACCAAGTGGGAAACATATCTTCTGTCGAGATGAGATAGGTTCGGTGCTACCCCCCATATGAGCTGGAGGGAGAGATTTGTTGGGTTGGTCCAACTCATATGGTGGTTGGATTAACCGGTTTGAGTTTTGGTTGGTTTTTAGAAGATCCTCTATTTTTAAAATAGAGAGTTATTGTCTGATCAAAATTGAAAAGAGGAGTCAGCCTTTCATTTTTCAAAGAGAGAGAATAAAAAAAAAGAGAAGAGATAAGGAAAAAGATAGCAGAGAGAAAGAGCTGCAGTAGGGCAGCCTGTTCAAGTGAGTGTTCTGGAAGATTGAACCGTCGATCGTCCTTAAATTTGGACAATGGGTTTGTAATTGTCTGGGCTTCATTCTGACCGGAGGGATCGTCATTCTGAGCTCTAGTGCGTCCAGAATCACTACTGAACAGAAGGTGTACAAATCTGTTTTTGTACTCCTCAACCTCTCTTTGTCTTGCTCTTGTTCTAGTTATCCACCATGTTGGTGAGAGCTATTGTGGTTGATTTTTTATCCAAGAAGGGTGTTCTTGAGGTGTTTTGTAATCCTCTAGCTAGTCTAGAGAGACTTGTAATCCCACCAAAGTCTAGTGAAGTTGTAGCTTGGACAAAGATCCCGTGGTTTTTCCCGATTTGAGTTTTCCACGTAAAAATTGTTGTCTTGTGCATTTGATTCTTGCTTGTGGTTGTTGCCCAGTTTCTCAAAGTGATATCAGAGCATTAGGTTGTTTGGGGGTTGTGTATGGTGAATGGCAAGAATGGATGACTCAAGTGGAGCAATTGCTTCAGCTTTCTCGCTGTTGACTGATCTACTCGCCGACCACCAAACCCAGTTATGAAAGGGATAAGAAATATAAAAAGAAGCTGAAATTTATGGGAAACACATCACCAACAAAATCAATAATGCACCGATTAATAGAAGTAGAAGAAAACTCATAATAATCGACAGAAAGAGGCGTTTGGGTAAACCAAATAACACGGGAATAGAACAAAAGAATACAGAGTCCACGTATAAATTCCTTGAAATCTGTGCATGTCCCCGCATGAAGGCTGGAATGCAAATATCCGTGGATGTGAAGAAGCTAAAATATTATTACAGTAGTCCCATGCCCTTGTTTTTCTGTGAAACAAGATTTAGGCCCAAAATCATGTCTTTCAATAGTGATCTTCAAATGGGGGGAGAGAGAGAGGGTGAAGAGGAAGGGAGGTGGAGGAGGTGGGATTAAGTGGTGGAGGCTAGTGGCGTAGCCAGACATCGAGTCCACTAGGGTCCTTAAAATTTTACTAACATAAATGCTTGTACCTAATGAATTTTGATTTAACCGGGGTCCTTGGTGAGCTAACATCGTTGAGAGTATGTGGTCCTAAACTTGAATTATCGTACTAAAACCTATGTATTTAAAGGGTTTTGTTGCCCAATTATTTGCCAAGTGGGGTCCTAGGACCCCTCTCCTCCTTACCTCCCTCCGCCACTGGTGGAGGCTTGAGATTGGAGGGGGTTTAAGGGATGTTGTTGATAGCAGAGTAGGTGAAGTCGATCACGTGAAAGTGGTTTGAGGTGTGGGTCAGTTGGATTTGGATGGTTTGGTCAGTAGTTCTCTAACCACTAGTCAATAATTAAAAAAAAAATTTATTTGGACGGTTAGTTAAAGTAACAGAAAATTGGATGGATGCACAATTTAAGGACTTCAATGGTATTCGGTGCACTGTTTTCACTTTAGTAGTATAGCTCCACCAAGTGCCAATGAACCAAACCGGATCACCCCACCTACCCAGAAACCAGAATAATGGCCCAAACGGCACTTAGGTTGCCATTTTGTCTTTTGGACGGCAATTTAAGGGTCGAGTTTAAACACCCCACAACCCTTCCTTGCATTATGCATTGGATTTGTTACCAAACGAATACCATTGTCCATTTTGTTACACAATTAAATGCATTATGACCATCTATTTTGAATTGAATTGTTGTGTAACCATTTGTTTTATGAACTAGAAAGTTAGTGACCATTGTGTTACATGTTTCAAAATCATAGTGTTAGTTGAGTGAGTTGGATCACTACATTAAGTGCATTTTTATTAATAATTTTGTGATGTGGAGGGCTGATTGTACCAAATTAACAAAGTTTTTGACGGAGAAGAACGAAATAATCATTTTGTTATATGCTCAAACGTTTGTTACCAAATCGTACAAAATTCAAAGTGTGTGACTGTTTTGTACAAAGTGCAAAGAATTGTGATCGTTTGTACTAATTACCCCATATTTCCTACACTTTATGGTGCAATTTCAAAGTCATGCAGGGGTGAAAATTGGTTCGGTATCAGTATTCCAATACCAAATACCGAAATCTTGAATACCAAATAGTGCCCTATACTCAATTCCAATCACAATCCCAAAATAAATTTGATTCACAATCTCAATCTCTAATATTTTTTTCGGTATTGGTATATACCAAATACCAAATTTATTGGCTTCAAAATTATAAATCAAATATGCAAACACAAATACTTATCCTTTTGAAGTAGCTACAGAAACCATTTTCAAAATATATAAAAACAGATAACGGCGCCAACAATCGTTCGAAACAAATGAGAAAAATTCTCAAGTATAATAACAAATTAGAAAAATGTGGAGGCTAAGAAACACATTAACAAATTAAAGCAACAAACTGAAACGGAGATGACTAAACAACCCATAAACATACTACAAGTAACAAAATGAGAGGTTGATATTAGTTGTCAAATAGTGAGGGAAAGAAGTACACATAATTAAGTGAGTGAGTAAGTCTAGTTGGGACTTGGGAGGGATCAACTACACACTAGCTTATATTTCAGTATTGAGGTATATATCGATCTCAATCCCGTAATTCCTAAAACCAAATAACACTTAAAATTCAGTCCCGATCCTAATCTCAATCCCGCGAAATAATAAACTTCAAAAATATCAAATATTAACAAATGCGGTACGAATTCGGTATATCTCAAATACCATTACTAAACTTTCAGCGCTAATTGTATACACTAGATCTTAAACAACGTTCAGAGCAGATGGGCAAGACTAGGGGTGGTATTCGGTCGATAACGGTAAACTGGTTACCGACTTTACCGGTTTTCGGTATTCCGGGTGTGGGTAAGTAGGAATCGATTACCGATACCGGTTTGTAACCGGTTTACCAATTACCGAATTACCGATAAACGGTTACAAACCGGTTTACCGACCTACCGTAAGGAGTAGTTGTGGACAGTTTTTCGGTTCGGTTTACCGAAAAATTACCGAACCGAATTTCTAAGTAGTGGGGTGATGTTGTAATATTTTATTTTTCTGAGTTTTTTTCTTCATTTTTGTAATTAATAATTTATTATTAACTCTTATTTATAATATTTTGAGGCCTATACTTACTTACTTCCATTCATGTATGTAATATTTGTGAATAATAAAGTATATGTTATATGTTAATGCCTTAACTGATCCGGTATCGGTATTATCGAATTACCATCGGTATTTACCGATATTAGGGCCGGTAAACAGAGCTTCCCCATTTGACTTTCGGCCGCCGATACCGCCGGTAAACGATTTACCGTTTAATGATATGTTAAGCCCTTCATAAACCCTATTGCACCTTTGCACCTTGCACCTTTGTAAATTCGGTATTAGTAAAAACCGAAGCCAAATTTTCATCCAAACCATGAGTAATGAGCAGAGCAAAGGTGCAAAGTGCAAACAAGCAATAGGGTTTATGAAGGGCTTAACATACCATCAACACCATTCATTTTCAGCGCCCTTCTTCCCACCTCCCTCTTCAATCTTCTCACAATCCTCTGAACATTCCCAACTCCCGAATCTCAACTCTCTCACAAAACATTCCCCCGCCCTAAAAAAACCCCGAAATGTTGAAGCTTCTCTCTTCTTCCCGCAATCTCCACGCCCACATCGCTTCCCCATGCCTCCGAGCTACTCCTGCTCCCAGCTCCGGCGGAGCTTCTGGGTCATCGAGCCCTTTGCTCAGAGCACTCAATTCGATTGCTGAATTGAGCAGGGGAAGCTCCAGCAGGCATCCCAATTTCCTCCGCAGGGCTTTCTTCTGCTCGGATTCTTCCTCCTCGGGCGGCGACGGAACCGGCCGCGGGGTGCTGGTTGAGGTTGCACTAAAGGGGGACGACAGCGATGCCGACGCCGGAGATTCCAGCAATAGCTCCTCCGCCATTGTCCCTACTAATCCGAGACCCGAGGACTATCTAACGGTTGGTTGTCTGAAAGAGATTGAAGCTTTGAAGATGGTTTTTTTTTGTTTTTTGCTTTATTTTCGTTTATATGTGTATTTACTTAGATTGCTATGGACATGGTAATGCCTTGCGAAGTGTGAGTTTTGTCTTCACAAAGCATAGGAGCCTCTAGATGGTTCGGTGTAGAGCTTTTGTTGCCCGAAAACATGGTAGAATAGGCAGAAGAACTTATAGTTGATGTTAGGGTAGATTAGAAGTTCCACTGATCTAGATGAACATCTTGCTTGGTTCTTACTGTACAAATGTAGCTGAAGTTTGTATTTTAAGTTACTATATGCATAATTGATAACACATTTTGCTTGTGCTTTGCAGGTATTGGCACTTCCATTGCCTCATAGACCTTTGTTCCCTGGTTTCTATATGCCTATTAATGTTAAGGTATTATTTATTCTACCAAACCTGGGGTTTTATGCTCACTCTAGCTGTCACAATCATATTATGTTTCATTACAGTGGAGTGATGCAATAACTTGCTTCGCGTTTAGGATCCCAAACTGATGGCTGCATTACAAGAAGCACGGAAAAGACAAGCCCCATATGCTGGTGCTTTTCTCCTCAAAGAGGAGCCGGGCTCTGATCCCAATGTGGTATCTGGTTCAGAGTCGGAGAAGAGCACGGACAGTCTCAAAGGGAAAGATCTTTATAATCGTCTTCATGAAGTTGGAACACTAGCCCAGGTTCCTAAACTTTATTTAACCTCGCTGTCTGATACAGTTGGCATAGTAAGTGCTTTTTCTTTGAAAAAAGAATGGTAATGTTGATTCGATTTCCTCCAAAATGTGGCTGGCCAGATTTCAACTATTCAGGGAGAGCAGGTTGTTCTTATTGGTCACAGGCGACTTCGGATAACAGAGATGGTTGAGTACAGATGAAACTTTTCCCTTTTTATTTTTCAGACTTGGTATCATGCCAGTGTATTCTTTACCTCTAAGCTGAAACTATTTGGGATTCTGTACAGGTCAGCGAAGAACCACTTACTGTGAAGGTTGATCATATCAAAGTACGCTATCTCAATCTCTGAACTCATATTCTTGATATCCAAGATCTCAATGTTCTAGTCTCTGCAAATATACCAGATTCTTTAGGTTATGTGGCTTACCCCTCTTGATTGTATAGGACAAACCTTATAACAAGGATGACGATGTTGTTAAGGCGACATCATTTGAAGTTATATCAACCCTTAGAGATGTTCTAAAATCGAGTTCCCTTTGGAGAGATCATGTCCAGACTTACACTCAGGTTCGGATTGTTTCTTTAGTGTTCTTCATAGGCTCACCAAAGATCACTTGACATCTTCACTTTCCAGTTGATCACTAAGATTGAATTTTGTTCACTGTTGTTATGTTGGGAGTTAGTATTTCTAACTTTGTAATGTCTACAGCATATAGGTGACTTTAATTATTCAAGGTTAGCTGATTTTGGGGCTGCAATCTCTGGAGCAAGCAAGTTGCAGTGCCAGGAAGTGCTTGAGGAGTTAGATGTAAGTGGCATTCAAACTGTGGATTACTTCATTGCGTGAAGAGTTCTGATGTCTACTTTCTCACATATTTCTTTCTATGTTCTTGTTTCAGGTGCATAATAGGCTGAGGCTTACCCTTGAGTTGGTGAAGAAAGAAATGGAGATAACCAAAATCCAGGTATTCGACAATAGACTCACTGTTTGGGGTAGGTGTTGAAGTTTACTGTCAATGATTCAGTTCCCACTCAGTAAAAATTTTCTCCCAAATCCAGGAATCGATTGCGAGGGCGATTGAAGAAAAGATTAGCACTGAGCAGAGGCGTTACTTATTGAATGAACAGCTTAAGGCCATAAAGAAGGTAGTTTTCCCCCTTTATTTTTCCTGCTTGATTTCTGGTTGTTTAACTCGGGGTTTTTGTTGTAAATTGGAGCTCTTTCTGTCATGTAGGAATTGGGGCTAGAGACAGATGACAAGACTGCTCTTTCTGGTAAGTTTGTGTGCGAGTATGCAAGAAAGCCAATTAAGTCTTGATTTTGATTTCTGTTAAAAATAGTGTGAAATGGTCACTCATTTATTTCGTTTCTA